TTCCCTCCATCGTCACTTGTGCAGTGGATGGTGCTCTCCCCAATGAGGTTGAAGATCATCCCTCTGTCTGGGCTGCGGTTGCACATGTAAGAGATTTCTTTTCCATAGGGAAAGCTTTCCAGAGAATTTCCTGTGTGGTCCCCATTAAGGATAGCAGGAGGGTTTGGACAAATGATTTCTAGAAAGAAAACAAGAGCTCTAGATCTGATCAAAATTTAACTGGAGGTGCTGCTGCAGTTATGGAGGGCTATGAATGTGTTGCCAATTAAAGAGCAACTTTTTTTCTCTGGGGTTGTGCACACTGCAAAGTATATGTTTGAGTCTTCTGGTCAGATGGAGCTAAACAAAATGACACTGAATTTGGTGTTCATCACAAAAGTAAGAAACTCAAGAATCCAACACTCTTCAGAGAGATATGGTTTTAGTGTAGCCTCTTAAATAAAATCATTCTAAACCACACAAAAGGGAAAACTATCCATTAACTCAACAAGCATTTTGGGGCCCCTATTATATATAAAGTACTACTGAAAGGCAAGGTAGACATGGTCCTTGATACCAAAATTCTCTGCCCAAGGAAATTTTTCGACAACAGAGATTTAAGAGTTGACTATCGGTAATGTCTCAGGATCAGGAATGAGTGAGCCTGGTTGTACACACTATGTTTCTGCTCTGATCCAAGACCCTAACCTCCTTGGTTTCACTTCCTCTGGCAGCTACAGCCCCACTGGTCTGCCCACTTTACATGAAAACTCAAAAATGTTGTCTATGACCTGTCATACTTCCTTCCCTGCCATTTCCCCTTGACTCATTCCAGTCAATATCCGTCCCCACCACTCTACCAAATCTCCTCTTGTCAAGGCTATTTGTTACTCCCCTGCCATTAAACTCAGTGGTCAATTTTCTGTTCTCATTTTATTTGATGTAGTCATAGAATTGGACACAGTTAATAAGTCTCATTTCCTTAAAAAAAAAAATCCCCACTTGGCTTTCAGGACTCTTCCTGCTCGGTTTTCTCTCACCCCAACCGCCTCTGTGTCATTGTCTCCTTCATGCTCCTTTTTGTCTTTGCAACAGCTGAATGTTGGATTTCCCAGGCTCAGCACCTGGGTCTCTTCTTTATCTGTGCTCACTCCCAAGTGATCTCGTTTAGTCTCATGACTAACCCTGATATCATGATAACTTATAAACATCTCTTGCCAGCCTATATCATACATGAAAATAGTAAAAGGTCATTAAAAAGACAAGAAGGAAAAGATTAAAGTGGACATTAGAAGAGACTCTGAAACTTACTCTTAATTTCAGAATAGCTAAGGCAAATAGAAGAAATGCTTCTTTGCTTATCTGACCCAACCCATGGTTATTTTCAATGACCGCCTATGCATGTGAAATTTACACAGTGAATAAGGAAGACTGAAGATCAATTATGGTGCTTGTGAAAATATTGAAAGTACCATGGACTTCCTAAAGAACAAACAAATCTGTCTCAGAAGAAGTATTGCCAGCGTGCTCCTTAAAAGCAAGGGTGGAGAGATGCCATCTCATGTGCCTTGAACATGTTGTCAGGAGATACCAGTCCCTGGAGAAGGACGTTATGTTTGGGAAAGTGAAGGGGCAGGGAAAAGGAGGAAGACTCTCAACAAGGTGGATTGACACAATGGCTGCAACAAAGGCTCAAACATAAGAATGATTGTGACAATGGTTCAGTGTTTCGTTCTGTTGTACATAGAAGAGCAACTCACTAAGAGTTGGGACTGACTCAATGACAGCAGCAACATGGACAAACTAATGAATGGCAAAGGAAGCATCAAAAGAAGATGGAAGGAGTACAGAGTCATTGTGCCAGAAAGAACTAGTCGATCTTCAACCATTTAAGAGATAGCATATGGTACTGAAGCAACAAAGAAATCCTGGCTGCACTGAAGGTGTTAGCCAAAAACAAGTCTCCAGGGATTGATGGAATACCAATCAAAATGTCTCAATAAGCTGATGTAGCACTGGAAGCACTCATTTATACCAAGACATCTGGAAGTTAGCTACCTGGCCAATTGACTGGAAGAGATCCACATTTGTACCCATTCCAAAGAAAAGTGATCCAACACAATGCTCAAATGATAGAACAATATCCTTGATAACATATGCAAGTAAAATTTTGCTGAAGATCATTCAATAACAATGCATCATTACATTGACAAAGAGATTCAGGCTGAATTCAGAAGAGAACATGGAAGAAATAATATCATTGCTGACATCAGATGGATCTTGGCTGAAAGCAGAGCATATCACAAAGACGTTTACTTGAGTTTTATTGACTATGTCAAGACTGTGTAGATCATAACAACTATGGATAACTGTGAGAAGAACAGTGATTCCAGAACACCTCATTATGCTCATACAGAACCTGTATGTGGATCAAGAGGCACATGCCTCAACAAAATGAGGGAATACTGAATATGTTTTAATATCAAGAATGGTACGCATCAAGGTATCCTCTCACCAAACTGACTCAATCTCTAAGCAGAGAAAATCGTCAGAGAAGCTGGATCATATGAATAACATGACATCAGGATTGGAGGAAGGGCCATTAACAATCTGTGATATAGAGATGACACAGGTGATATACAGGTGACACAACTTTGCTTGCTGCAAGTGAGGAGGACTTGAAGTACTTGCTGATGAAGATCAAGAATTTCATTCTGTGCTCACTTCAGCAGCACATATGCTAAAACTGGAACGATACAGAGAAGATTAGATGGCCCCTGCGCAAGGATGACAAGCAAATTCGTGAAGCATTCCATATTTCTGAAGAATTTACTTGAGAGGACAGTACTGAAACTGTAGCTAGGGGAGAGGGGCATGTCTGATCAGAGCAAATGGGAGCACTTAGGGGGAGGAAGAGAGTGGAGCACTTTCTGACCCACCAGGCCTGAAGGACGACATCCCCGTTCTGAACAGCCAATGGACAGAGTGGACAATATGGCTGATCCCACCATGAGACATGC